TTTATTTTTTTTTGATCCGGCAGCCTAAGATGGCAACGTTCAGCGATGTTCCCCTGCTGGCACTGCACGCAAAAGGCAAGACCAGCGCAAAGATCCACACCGCAGCTATTTGAGCTCAGTGTGATGTCATCGTCTCCCTTCGCATTCAGTCTCGACATGCCAGACGCGAGTGTGCTTGGGTCTGTTGGAGGAATGGGGAGTCCTCCTTCGGAGACCCAAGTACTGAACGAGATGACAGCCAAGACGGTGCAGGAGATGGCCAGAGGACAGTGCGACATGAACATGTTGAATTCTCTACAGTCCTTGGCAAAGGCTCGCACGGAACAGAAGCAAAACCACACCATCCAGCACAACGCTGAGATCATCAAGCAACAGATCACGACCATCGACGAGCTGAACAAGGAGATCAGCAAGTTGCGCTGCCAGAAGGAGAGCTTGGAGAAGGTGCCACAGGGACAGGGACCACCGAATGTGCCGGAGGCGGTGCCGGAGGCGATGATCTTGGAGAACGTGCCACAGGGACCGCCGGCTGTGCCGGCGACGGCGACGACTTTACTGAGGACCTGGTTCACAAGCCACAGCATCCATGCGGATGACCGGAGGACATCAAAGACGGCTGTGTTGTCATGGCCTGTTTTCCAGACAGAGTCCACGTGGTTCAGTGTGCATCTGCTGAAAACGGTCGATGCCGAGGGTGACGCCTACTACAAGGTCGGCCGCACTCGCTCGTCGTGCTTCGCTCAACGCTTCCACTCGTACCAACTGGAGCTGCTGGCCGTAGAGCCACGGCTGTCTCTGGTGTGTGCGCTTGAGATTTGCTTGGTGTCTTCAAACTTCCATGCCAAGCGGTTTGAAGGAAGGATCCACAAGCTTATGTTGACGCAGAAGCCTGAGCTGCTTTTGGGAGCACGCGAGAAAACGAGGGAGATCTACATCTCTGACGCGTTGCCGTATCTCACGTCTCTGTTCGCAGAGACGTCGGCTATGAGGAAGGACGAGTTCCTCGCCGAGCTGGCACAAGGCAAATTCAAAACGAGTGCTTTCTCAGGCGGTACCGAGAGCATTCCGGACGACTACACGACCGAGGCCGCAGAGACAGACCCCGAGTGAGAGTTGTCATGTACAGGTTATAGTCCGAGTGCTCCAAGTGTGTGCTGCCTGTCACCAAGAGAGAGAGTCCGAAAGAACCGCTCGTGTGGCTCCTTCGTGATCGCCATCGGTGCGCGGGCAGCGGGACCGGGACCGGGCACCACCGTTTCCTTGAAGCAGGCGCACTTGCAGGGAGCGAGAAGCAGCACTCCGAGCGGGACTGCCTGAGTTGCATCATCTTTCAGACCTTCGTGTCAGCACCGCAGCATGTCTGGTCCATTCTCCGGCGATTTCCTTCGCCGTTCCTCCGAGCATGCCTCGAGTCGGCAGGACTCCACGCGGGCGGAGGAGCTCCGAAGGTTGCGGGGCGACGCCCCGCCCTCGGCTCCTCGAGCCTTTGGCCAGGCACGTCCTGCGACTCTGTGAGGTCGACAGCCTCAGCCGCGAAAAAGAGGGCCTGGAACGCATGGTCGCAGAGGCAAGTGTTGTATGTTCCTTTCGGAGGTGTTCTTAACAGAATCTGAGGCGCATGCTGGGACAGTTCGGCGGGGGTAGCTTGAGACAGGGTGGCAAGTCCAAAGACGAGCTGATAGAGAATTTCTTGTATGCCAAGGCAGGAGAGGGCCCATTGCTTGCAGCGGCGCTTGGCTTGCAGAGAGTCGCTTCAGGGCTGCCTGGACAAGCTGCAGATTGCCTCCATCACCTCGCCGGCCTGCTCTCCAGAACACGAGCGGCAGGCCTTGGGCCTTGGGCCTTGGGCCTTGGGCCTTGGGGCCTGTGCTTGTGCTGTGCTGCGAAAAAAAAAAACCTGTGCTTATCCTTTCACGTCTTTAGAAAGGTGGCGCAACTGCGGGAGACATACAACCAGGCAGGTTGTGGACCACGGACTGGCTCACTTTCTGAAGATCACCACATGTTCGTAGAAAGGTTTGACTCGCCCGGAGGTGGTGGATGAACGAAACCGGCTGATGGTCCGGGTCGAGGTTGGCAGTTTGTTGCAAAGTTTGTAAGATCCGCGCAGCCAAGACCGGCCACGTTCACGGCCATGAGGAAAAAGCAGTTCCCATGCTTTCGGTCGATGTTCCGCTGCTGGTGTCCACTCCTGGGAGACTACGAGTTGCAAGGCTCTGGACAAAGACAGGGAGAAGCAGAAGCAGTTTCGGGAGCTTCTCAGAGCAAAGAGTGCGGCATTTATGCGGCACTAATCCGTGGCCAAGTGCCCAGGTCCACTCTTGAGAAGGCCACTCAGGCGAACGCCAGGAGCGCTGAGCCGGGCCTGGGCCAAGGGGCCGGGTCCTGAGCTCTGCTTGGCTGAGAGTTGCAGGTTGCTGGAAGAGCGGGACAAGCTTGAGAAGGCCCACAGACGGGTGACCGCACGATCTGAGACATGCGATATCGCCAGGAGAAGGCCCGAGTTTCGACCCTCTACCAGCAGACCATGGCCATGCTCGCCCATTCTGCTGCAAACGCGGATTACGAGGCCTTCGCATGTGATGTCTTCATCGCTACGCGCCATCAAACGCAGAATAGAGAGCATCGCATGTCGCGCTCGAGCACAGAAAGCAAATTAGGAGGGACATGCTATAATAAAAGGTTTGTTATGGTGTCCTGCTAATGGTTCAATTCCTCAAAATGTAGGACTTGAACACATTCAAAAATGCATCTAATTTCTCTCAGACAGCTAGCTATCGGCCATTCGCTTCAAAATTTGAGCCACTTCCGGCCCAAAACCGGTTTGGAAGCCAAATTAAAGCAATTTCGGCCGGCGCGATTCTCGGGTTTCGACTCGTGCACTCGCTCAAGGCAGGCACGGCTTCCAGACGAGTCCGAAACTAGAGCATCTCACTACTACATTTGCGGGTTTAGGGATGGCTTTGAGAGTCTAGATTTGTTGAAGCAAGGGCCAAGTGCATGTCCTTGGAAAATGCATTTAGGCTTTGTCGGAGGCTTCGGGAGCTCGATTTGGGTTCGGGGGCTGGGGCCAGGAACACCAACAAAGCTGAAATAGCTGTAAACACGTTTTCCACAAGCCTTGAAAAATCCACGTTGGGTCCCGGCGATTTTCGGTTTAGGGACGGCATTGAGCTCCAGATTTGTTGAAACCAGGGCCGAATGCGTTTAGCAGGCCTTGGAAAATGTATTTGCGCTTGGGTTCGGAGGTTTCGAGCTCGATTTGGGTTCTTCGGGAGCTCGATTTGGGTTCGGGGGCTGGGACAACGCCTCGTTTTCCAAGCCTTGAAAATGCCCGCATGGGTGGAACTCGGCTGTGGAGTGGGGCCCTGTAGGTTTGGATGGGCTCTGGCTGCGGGCCTGAAGGGGTTTGGGAGCTGGATGCCTGTGTAACGGCTCCTGAGGTGGTGCCCCGGTTGGATGGTGGAATGGGGTTTGGCGCAGCAGCTCTGGAGCTGGGGGCCCACCGGGTTGGATGGGTGGAACGTGGCTCTGGAGCTGCAAACCTGGGTTTGGATGGGTCGCTGCGGGTTTGGATGCTTTAGATGTGGGCGGGATGGGTGGAACATGGCTTTGGAGCTCGCGCGTTTGGATGGGTCTGGACCTGGGGCCCACGGGTTTGGACGCGGCTCGTGAACTGGTGGCCCGCGTTGCTGGATGGCATGGGAACGGGACTCATGAGCTCAACAGCTCCCCTTCCTGCGATTTGCTATTGGGAAGACGGTTTGCAACTCGCCCGGAAGATAATACTGAGTACCCATTGTATTTCGCCAAATGGTGAATCGGGCTCCCTCCAACGGGTTTCCGATGGGTTTCCTCTGCCCCGAAATATTGTCACAAGTTAATTGAGCTACATGGACAAACAATACCATAACAATTCTGATGCTTACACATCTTTTTGGATGTTTGGTCACAAGCTTCAGAAGCCCTGTTGAAGCCGGCCTCAAATTGGCTTCAGGCCCTTCAAAAACCACGGGATCGCATTCAGCTGCCCAATACTGAGAGGGTATTCCAAGTCAATTTGAGACAGGTTTCAACAAGGCTTCAATTGGACGAGCTGCTTACACCCCTCATCCTGTTCGACATCTATGTGCCGAGTCAGATTTAGGGAACGCCTCAGGGGCAGGTTTCAGCGCGGATTCCGAAAAGGTTCCGATCGGTCCGAGCAGGTTCCGGCTCCGGCTATAGGGTTCGGGGGTGGGGGTCAGGCTCCATGGCGAGGTTGGAAGCGGGTTCCAGGGTGGTTCCGGGTGAGTAATTCTAGGATTCTAGGGCAGGTCCAGTTTCCTTTAAGCTCCACATGTTTTCGTGAGCCTCGCAAGTGACAGCGAGTCTCGCACCTCTGATGTGCGCGTAAGCTTCACGAGGCCTGCTGGGCGCATTTGGCTTTCGTTTCAACAAATCTGGAGCTCAATGCGGTCCCTAAACCCCAAACCCGACAAGTGTATTGAACATGCTTTAGTTTGGTTTCCAGTGTTTATGTTTGGTTTCCAGTACCGAAAAATGTATTTTTCAAGGCTTGGAAAACGTATGTAGAGTTGTTTCACTTTGCTGGTGGCCCCACTCCCCGAACCCAAATCGAGCTTCTGAAGCCTCCGACCAATTCCAAAGCTGCTTAACGCAACAAATCTGGAGCTTAATGCCGTCCGTCCTTACACCACGAAATTTGCATCGAAAATGCTTTGTTTTCCTTTCAGGGTGCAAAAACAAAGCTGGGAAAGCGCATTCAGAGCCATTTCAGCTTTGCTGTTGCCCCTGGTCCCACTCCCAAGGCTTTAATTGAGCTCTCGAAGCCACCGACCAAGCCCAAATGGGTTTTAACGCTCAACGCAGTCCCTAAACCCGAAAATCGCATTGAAAATGCTTCAGTTTGAGCTCCACCCATCCAGATGCGGGCCCTCAGCGCCACCCATCCAAACCCGCGGGCCCCCCATATAAACCCGCGGACCCCCAGCTCCAGAGCCGCATGCCACCCATCCCGCCAGGCGCGTTCCTTTTTCTTTTTTTTGAGGAGAGGACCCCAACAGTTCCTGTTTGGCAGAAAATCGTTCCCTGCCAGGAAGAGGACGAAGCCGTGCTCCAGGCGCATCTAGACTCACCTCGTGAGAGAGAGTGAGAGAGAGATAGACAGAGACATGGAGAGATGGTGCATCAGTGAGTCGCGGAGGTCGAGCTTGAGGGTTGACCGTGAGGATTATTTTCTGATCGACTGATGAAGTCTATGCCTATGCACTTGAGGGCCCGATGCTACGGATAGTATGCAAGGCTTCGCGAGAAGAGGTGGCGAAGAAGCGCGAGCTCCTTCAGAAGAAGGCAGCGAAAGGGCCGTAGATGGTGTCGGACGCAACGAGCGCAATTCTAGCCTCATGATCCCCAGGAGCAAGAAGGGGAGTCGCTGCGCCAGCGTCTCAAGAAGCTCGCAATGGTCGGCTGGCCAATTTGCGGGATTCTGCAGAGGAACTTCATTGCTTGACTTCTTCTCATCGACGGAGTTTGTCAGCCTCGGCTGTCCGAAGAGCTCCCGGCAGGTGTAGATGCGGTCAGCCCTGAAGGCACCTTGGATTGTCGCTCAGCCGCTGAAGCTTGGCGGCTTGTTTTGTAGGGAGGGAGTCTAGCAGTATTCAAAGGACGCTTGTCAGAATCCGCAGGCTTGCCGCCGCTCCCGTTCAAAGTGACGGGTCCTGGCTTCCAGATTGATGCTGAGCCCGAGCCCAGGGCCTGAAAGCTGAAAATCGTATCTGCCACTTGCAGATTGCTTTCAAACCTTAGGGCGTAGCCTACAAGGTCTCCGTAGGAGCCAGAAGCCGACATGATGCATAAGCAGGAAAAGGGGGGGGGCCGGGCCACCTGCTCTTCGTCATTGAGCTTCATGAACCACTGAACGGTGATGTGCAACCTGTGCTTGATGTAGCGTATGAGTATGTCTTGTCGGCATCAGAACCCCTTCGCATGTTCGCCCTCAGAGTAGCGTTTCTCAGACAGCAAATCCTTTAACGTGAATCCTACACCCCCTGCATCGCATTTACTCGCCGCGCTATCGGACTCCCAAGTCGTTCGGGATCTTCTCAGACTTCGGACGTTGGCATTGAGTTTACTCGGAGCTCAGCTGCGGTGCCACTGACACGATGCTCTTGTAAGCCTCCGGATCAGTCGTAAAGGTGATTTCGTCATACCGCGGGCCATGAGGCGGGGCACGCTCTGCGACGTTGCAAAACGGTCCACTTTCGGTGCCCTCAAACGCACATACTCAACACGAAGCACCAAGATGGGCTGCTCACTGCAACCCTATAACCCAACAATGTTTTCGAGACAAGGAGCCATGGCGAGCTCAGCTTCTGGGTCTAATCGCTGTTTCAAGTCTCTGCTCCATGGGTCTCAGCATTGCGTCAGCTTCGTATGAAGGGCCAGGCTGTTTGGACACTTCACCTCAACGACGGTAGCTCTCGGCATTTTGCAAACGATGTAGACTCTGCCACTGTCTCACAGCGCATGTGAACCATTGTGGGCCACAGCTCGGCGTGAATCACATCGGGGAGGTTTCATTCTCATAGCCGCGAAGCTGTCTCGGGCTCACAGCCTGACTGAAGAGACGTACAGTGGATCCGTCTGCGAGATCCGCAGGCACGAAGGGCATGAGCTTCTAGTGAACTTCCTTGAAGAAGCCTTTGTATGAGTTTCACTGACTGTCAGCCCGAGCTTACAAGTTTGCCTGCCGAAGACATAAGTGTTAGTTTTTTTGCATCAGGTTTGGCTGTCCCGATGCCACCACCGCCAGCAGGGTCCTCAAAACAGCATGTGGGCAGCTGATCAAGTGCAAGTCTGGTAGCCTTGTCGGTTATGTTTAGCACTACTTCTGTTTCGGACTTCATGCAATGCTCGAGGTAGCAGAAGCGTCAGCAGTTGCAATCCTTCTCAACTGTCAGTCGCCTGAAGACCTCCGAGACATGCACATTGCGTGAATTTTGATATGCATGCTTGTACCAAATTGTAAGGAAGGAAAAGCAAAGCCGGAGGAGGGGTGCTCCTAAAAGCATTACCAAGGAATTTCTTTCCGGTCTAAGGAGGAAAAATCGGGACCCAAGCCAACGACGACGCGACCACAACTAAGGTCGCCGAGATCGACCACAAGACTTTCAAAATACTTGAAACAAGTCAGAACTGTATAGATATTTCTTTTAAACGAACATATGTATGCATATGTGTATGTACATATGTATTGATATACATATATATATATAT